TTGTTAATAAATTAGAATATTTTAAAGTTATCTTTTGTATAATTTATATATTAAATTATTTATTAAATAGTTTATTCAATTCTCTGTTAAATTATATATATGGTTTTATATATTTCATATATTTATAAATGCAAATTTAATAAAACACGAGATGCATAAAAACGTCAGTTTTAACATTTTGAATGCTTATGTTTTATCCTATTTTGAAATATTAACTCAATTTATATAAAAGTTTAAAATTTTAAAGCACTAATAGAAATAATTATAAATAAATATATTGTATTTTAATTAGAATATAAGATTATCACTTTTAATTATATCAAATAGTGTCTATTTGAGATTAGATATCCATCCATAATGTTAACATGTTACATTGAATTCGTTTACTTTAAAATATGTTTTAAGATTTTCTATACGTATTATTTTTAAAATTTTATTACAAGTTTTAAATAATTTTTAATCATGTGAAAAATTATTATATATAAACGTTATTAATAACATATCAGCAATTAAATTTATAGTTTTCAATATCATTCGAATATAACAACTGTACGTATCCTACTTAATAGAATTCATAAAAAAAAATTATATCTACATACATGATTAAAAATATATAAGAATGAAATCATTTTACTTTTTCTTTTATAATTATAATTTAATCATTTAACTTTGACTATTATAAGTATTTTATTAAATATGTATATTTAAAAAAAATGTTCTTTTTATTACTTTATAATTAAAATAAAATTAAAATTAGATGTGCGTATTCTAACATTTTTATAAGGAGTGATATACGACATAAAATGTTAAAATTTAAGATGAATTTTTTTATAAACTAACATGGATATGGATAACATTTAAATAGATACTGAAGTATATATATAAACTTGCGGCTGCAATCTTCCATAGTCATTCCTAAGAGCTAGTTTTAGTAGGTTCAAGACTCACACAGTGGCTTCGGATGTTTTCCATCTACTGCCATAAATCTTTTATAAAATATAGAATATTTTATAAAACTAATTCAGATACAAATTTTAAAAACTCTACCTTTAAATAATTTATCTATAATAATAAATATTACAATACCAAAATATTGAAATAGTAACTATGATAATAATAGTAAACATTTAGGCCGTGTGCGAGTTCGAGTATATTTAGGGGAAATAGTCAATTATGTCGGTATGGCAGCGATTGTTGGTACATACCAGAATTTCTAATGAGATAAATTAGGTGTTACCATTTTGAAAATTTTATAAGATGTTTAGTAAATAAATAAATAAATTTTAAAACTTTTAAAAGAAAAATAATTATTTTTTATATGTTTCCTTCTTTATATTATGAATATTAATGTTTTTTAATAATTGTATCACATTTATTTAATAATAAATACAAATATTTGGCACAAAATTATTAGTTTCTTGATTTCAAAAAGGTAATTATGAAACTTTATGCTATTGACCTGGCAACGTTATTTGTTTTGTACATTTTTATTAGTAACAAATATAATATTAATATTATTGTAACTTAGATTATACTACCTGCGAAGATTTATGTATCTATTTACTGATACGCGAATCTATGATAAATATTAAAAAATTCTTAATAATATAAAGGGTTAGGCGATTGAAGTGTTACAAATTACACAGAGATATGTTTGTCAAACTGATATTGCCAACTACGTCAAATTCATATGAATGACAGCTATTTATATTGTTTACAAATTACCACAAGCATTTGCGTCTAAGTTTTATAGAACTAATATTATTCGAAATGGAATTAATAAATAAGTGTGATTGCATTATATTTGGTTGGAAAATTACAACTAGCTATTGTGCTTGAGCTCAAATATCTCAATGTGAATAAAATGTTTGTGTATCGTACCTTAAATCGTTATAATAGCTCAGGCAGAGTCACCAAATGCTATAGTGGTGGACGAAAAAAAACCAGCAACATTGCCTAAAATGGTTCGGAAAGTGAAGGCTCGACTTAAACGAAATCCACGTCGTAGTACTAATCAAATGGCCAAAGAACCGATAATATCTGAACGAAGCATCTGACGCATTTTCCAAAATAAGCTCAAGGTAAAGCTTTAAAAGTTCCAAGGCACAAGATCTTGCACCAAAGCAACAAAAAGTTAAACTCGAATGAGCAAAGGAGTTGTTACGCTGGGCCAATTTGGAGAGCAAGTTGAGAACTAAAAAATAAGCCAGTTTCGATACGCTGAAGAAAGCTTTTATTCAGGAATAGGCCAAAATACTGGAAGATCACAGCCATAGTCAAGACAAAAGGTGGCCACATCAAGCTAGAGTGAATGGATTGTGAAATTTTAATTATTTTCACAAATTTTTGTAATTTGAATCAATAAAAAAATAATGTGATCGCTTGAATAGGTAACACTTCAATTATCTAACCCTGAATAATAAACTTGCATTCTTAAAAAATAGTGGCACAGCGAACCTGCTTTCTAGGAAGTCAATTGGAACGCATACACACTCGTATGTATAAAAACTGGTTGATACCTGCTGCCCAAAAACAAAAAAAAAATTATTACTATGTAGCAAAACGCAGTGTTAAGTTATACACTAACAATGCTATGTATTTTATCTGTTATGTAGGCTGATTTACAATTTTCGAAGATTTCGATTTCATGAAGGTCTTCCAGGAATGTAACGGAACAGAAGGGCGAGGCAAGAAATGATTGATTGTTAAGTGTTTTAAAGTATGGCTTGTGTAAGTTAGTAGGGTAGGTATGATAGTATGTACAATATTTATATCAATTGATTTAATGAAATACATTTTCTTTAATAAAATAAATTTTGTCGTCCTGAAAAGGACGGATTAATTGATAGTTAATTCTCCACGTATATGTATTCGTATTTTAATAAATAAAATAAAATAATTTAAGCCTTCTTTTCTGTTTTCTTTGGCAAAAGTACAGCCTGAATGTTTGGTAGTACACCACCTTGTGCAATTGTAACACCAGACAATAATTTGTTCAATTCTTCATCATTACGTATGGCCAACTGTAAATGACGAGGAATGATTCTTGTCTTCTTATTATCGCGTGCTGCATTGCCAGCCAATTCAAGAACTTCAGCAGCCAAATATTCCATAACGGCAGCTAAGTAGACTGGAGCACCTGCACCAACGCGTTCAGCATAATTGCCTTTACGCAATAATCGATGAATACGACCAACTGGAAATTGTAATCCAGCACGATTTGATCGTGACTTTGCCTTGCCTTTAACTTTACCACCTTTACCACGACCAGACATAGTTGAGTTGAGTTTCTAGTAGTTGAGATTTATAAAAATTGGATCTATTTTTTTTAATGATGCCGACAAATTATCTCATATACTTTTTCTAAACGCAATTTAAAATAAAAAATTGCTTTAAACTTTCGTTTGAAAAATGTTTATATAGAAACGGAAATTGCTCCAAATCGACGATTAAAATTTAAAATCAGAAATCATGCCACCAAAAACTAGCGGAAAAGCAGCCAAAAAAGATGGAAAGGCTCAGAAAAATATAACCAAAAACGATAAGAAGAAGAAGCGCAGGAGGAAGGAGAGCTATGCTATCTACATTTATAAAGTGTTAAAGCAAGTCCACCCCGATACTGGTATATCATCGAAAGCCATGAGCATCATGAACAGCTTCGTGAATGACATATTCGAACGTATTGCTGCTGAGGCTTCGCGCTTAGCACACTACAATAAGCGCTCCACCATTACTAGTCGGGAGATTCAAACTGCTGTTCGTCTTTTACTTCCCGGTGAACTGGCTAAGCACGCAGTTAGTGAAGGAACAAAAGCTGTCACTAAGTATACTAGTTCCAAGTAAATTGCGTTATATCAAACAAACACCACTTATTCAAAAGGCCCTTTTCAGGGCCACAAAAATATTCAATTGAGTTGATAATTTATCTATATTATAAATATGTATAGAGCCCTGAAATTATTTACGAAAACTGACAGGCTTATCAACACCGCGTTATTGAATCTCAGAATGGTTACAAGCTCCTCGGGGAGGTATGCAGATCTGATAAAGTTATAAACAATAATCCAGACAAGGCGTAAAGAGGGGTTAAGAAGAAACCTCGTAGTTAATAGAAAGTAAAAGTGCTCAAGTGCACTGACTCAACTAGCCTCAACATAATAATAATATAAATATGATATATATTTTGTTTTTGATATTTCTTTTAAAAGGCTACTGATAGAAGAAAAAAATAAAAAAAAACTTTGACAGTCTCTTCATGAATTATCAGCTATCGTTTGGTTGTTAGTGAATAAATGATTCAATCAACAAATTAATTTCTGTCGGTTTTGAGGATCTTACAGTTTTTTAATCATGGATAATATAACCTGCTAAATAGAGTTAACTCTTGAATTAACGAGTCTTAATCCTTATCATCAGTCTTAGTACTATCATCGCTTTTAAATTGATATATTCTATATTTACATTCGTGCTTTAAATTTGAAAACATAAATATAGTATTTGTTCCTTGTCATTCATTCTATGATACCATACAATTTCATGGGATAGATAAGCTCTTTTACAACTCATTCCTTAAGCGTTCTTTTAGTAAGTTCAAGTCTTACATTATGGCTTCTGATGCTTTCTGCTTACAGCAAAAGAAAAATAAAATATATTGATTCAATTAAATGTTATGACGTGAAACATTCTATGTCTAATGATACACTATATGATACTAATAATAGTATACATATGATGCTAATATTATACATATTAATATATGTTATGCTACTTCTAATAGCAATGTCTATACTACATCTATATGATATAATTTATCATTATCTCTTTTCTTTGAATAAACTTACTATGCAACAATTGCATTTACATTTTGCTTATTTTATTTTCGTAGTCAAAAATAAGCAATTGAAAATAGTTAAGCAATTTCAAACCCTGGATAAGTCATGTCATTTATTTATCTCTTTTCTTTATATAATTTTGGTCCTGAAAAGGACCGATTTTTGTATATTTATAAAATTATATTGCTTCCAATCTTAAGCACGTTCTCCACGAATACGTCTAGCCAATTGAATATCTTTTGGCATAATTGTAACGCGTTTGGCATGAATTGCGCATAAGTTAGTATCTTCAAAAAGACCCACTAAGTATGCTTCGCTAGCTTCTTGAAGAGCCATTACAGCAGAACTCTGGAAACGTAAATCAGTTTTGAAATCTTGTGCAATTTCACGGACCAAACGCTGGAATGGCAATTTGCGAATCAAGAGCTCAGTACTCTTTTGGTAGCGACGAATTTCACGTAAAGCTACAGTTCCTGGACGATAACGATGTGGTTTTTTCACACCTCCAGTAGCTGGTGCACTTTTACGTGCGGCTTTGGTAGCCAATTGTTTTCGTGGTGCCTTACCACCAGTCGATTTACGAGCAGTTTGCTTTGTACGAGCCATAATTTATGAGATATGTTACAATATGGTATTTTAAAAAATAGCGCAATTGAATAGCTCAATTTTCTCATCATACCTGGATGTTCTGTTTCAACTATTCACATGTTTTAACATTCATTGTTTCTCATATTGCTTATTCTTTTTGTTTTGTTTTGTTTTACCCAATATTTTTCATATCTTTCGTAGTGCTTATATTTTCTATAAATAGTCGTCAATCATCCTCGTCACTTCATTTATTGTTTGAATTTGAATTCGAACGGTTCTACCATATCTATAAAAATTTAAATACAAAATGACTGGTCGTGGTAAAGGTGGCAAAGGATTAGGAAAAGGTGGTGCTAAGCGTCACCGCAAAGTTCTTCGTGATAACATCCAAGGTATTACGAAACCAGCTATCAGACGTTTAGCTCGCCGAGGCGGAGTTAAGCGTATTTCTGGTTTGATTTATGAAGAAACTCGTGGAGTATTGAAAGTATTTTTGGAAAATGTGATCCGTGATGCTGTTACATATACAGAACATGCCAAAAGGAAGACTGTTACAGCCATGGATG